GGGGGGGGGAGGGAGACTTGTGACCATTCGTTCCTTTTCCCACCTTAATTTGACTGTCCAGCCAGCAGCACTGGGAACCCCTTCACATTTATCACATGGGAGAGAGAGGAAACCACAAAAGCAGCACAAAATAAAATAACAAAAATGAATTCCATATTCTCCCATTACAAGTGATTGTTTTTAGGAGGCCATGCATTGGTGCCGGAGCCAAATGAGTAACCCTGAACCTTCAGAGGGTTTTTTTAAGTCCAGTTTATTACAAATGATGACTTATTTCATGTCTGGGATCATGAGCCCCACCAGACTCCTGGCACCTCCTTGTAGGGTGGTATGTATCTAGACTTGCATTGTACAAACCTTTTTTTAAAAGCATGTGTTTAGGTTTCTGTGAAAACGTTGTTGAAATGTAAAGTACGTGTTTGGATTTTAACTTCATACCGAGCTCTGTCCGTTTGTTTTTGTTTTTTTTTTTTGTCTCAATAAAATTTTAGATTTATAATCCTGATTTTTTTCTTCTCAACCTTGCTCCTTCCTCCAGCTCTCTGTGCGTGAGCTCGGTGTAGAGCAGTGAGGAGGGGAACTCAGGCCTGGTGGCGCTGAACGAGGTTAGAGCTGCCCGCCGGCTCTCATCTAAGTGTCAACTGGAGCTCTGCAGCAGCCCACGGCTGCGTCTCATTCGTTGTGACTGCAGAAGAGTCGTGGCAGAGAGGTTGGTAGCTAAAGGCCTGAGTCGAGGAGGTTCCTGAGGGCGAGAGGCGTAGCTGTGATGTGGGACCTGGGTGATGGAAGGAGATGCTGCGTGAGCTCCAGGCCAGGACCCGGCTGGCTGCGCTGTGGGTGAGTGCCCTTTCCTGCACTTCTGGTGGGGATGTAGAGCAGACGGTGTCACTTTGTGTTTGTGGACGGGGTTTTTTTGTGATTTTTAATGCTGATTCTGGTGGCTGAAGATGGAAATGGCGTTGCTTTGTTCTTGGCCTTATGCAAGAGCTTGCAGCCTTCAGGATTGCAGGAAGGGAAAGCTGTGCCCCTCTGCTCGGCCCCCTGGCTCTCAATGCCACAGCACAGCCCTTGGCTTCACTGAGAGGAGGATGGGGCTTTCTGGCATGCGATTTCCAGCATCCACGGGGTGCGTGACAGAGCAGGGAGCAGCACTGAGGTTTTGGGTGGTGTTCAGCTGCTCTGCCAGTGCCTGCAAAACTATGCAGCCCATTGAAATCCGGGCTGTTCGCAGCGCTGTGCTGAAATGTCTTCCCTGCACTGGTAGCCAGCAGCAGCAGCAATTAAACTGGTGTTAATCACTGGAGTTGGAAGGAGGGAACGTCCACTTAATTGAACGTAAGGAGGCTGCAGCTCCTCGGAGAGGCTCTCGGCTGATTGATGGCCACGGGGGGCTGGAAGCTGAGTGCTGCAGGAGTCTGGAGGATGTGGGGCTCCTGATGGGGCAGAGCATCGCCTCCTGAGGCCCTGAGCCCAGCTCTCTGTGTGCTGGGAGCTGTGCTGGGTCGCGGTGGTGGGTTCAGTGCTCAGGGATGGGGGCAGCCCAGCACTCCTCAAAGCCGGGGCTCTGGCCGAGATCAGAGGCAGGAGGCCCCGCTGGTGGCTAAATGCTTCCTGCCTTGGAAAATGAAAGGTCTGCTCACCACCTGATCTGCGCTGGCAGGCAGCCCACGCTGCTGACAGTGCCAGGATGTGACAGCGATGCACAGAGCGCCGGCCCCGTGCTGCCCCAAAGGCTGGGGGAGAAGCTGCAGGCAGGGATTGCACCAGGAGCGTTGTCAGCTGAAGGCAGAGCAGGGCTGCTGGCTGGGGTAGAGCAAGAATAGGGGGGATGGCAGGAGCCAGGCCATGGAGATCCCCGAAAAGGAGGACAGTGGGGGAAGGCAAATGCTTGGAGCTGGTTCCCAGAGCCTAACAGCTGCCTGGGGTGATAAACAGCCCTGGGGCCCAGGAAGAGACTGGAAAAACCTCATTTATTTTAGTGCCCTGGGCTGAGCTGGGAGCAGGTGGAGCTGCCCTGGCCTCAATGCCCAGCAAAAGGGAGACGAAGCCATGCCCTCCTGTGAGCAGGGGAGGTCAGTCTGTGGAAAATCATAGTGGCCCCATGAAGTTCCCAATAGAAGCCGGACCTCACCTCCCTTTGGGTACAACGTGGTGCTGCTGCTGGGCTCTGCCAAAGGCAGGACTGTAGCACCTTGCTGCCCAAGCCTCCTCTTGTTCATGGGCTCAGTTGGTGGTTCCTAATGGATTTGGGAACCCGGCTCCGTACCAACGCTGCCCCCACTAGAGGCCAGGTGGGGGAAATGCTGCTGGCAATGATGGGGTGGCTGCTGCTGCCTTTGAGGAACACCCACAGGCTGGGACAGCAGCAGTACCTGCTCCCCACAGAGCACCACAGAGCTGGGAGCTGTGCCCCACAGCCCCCACAGGGAGGCTCTTCAGTTTCCCAAACGTGTTTCAGCTTAAGAAATGAAATAAAGAAGAAAATACACGAAACCAAGGCCTGTACAGTGAATAAGCCATTTTATTTTTTGTCCTGTGCTCACACAATCTCTCTTCTTTCCCTGACAGGTCACAGATCATTAAAATAAAGTTTCTAAGAGGAAAATAATTTAAAACATACACTCAGGGCTCCATTCCAACCTCCCCAACACCCAACATCTCCATCCCTTGTGCTTCATCTCATGCGTAAGTAAAGCTGTTGGATCTCAGGAGCGTGGTACGGCAGAGCCCTGCGCAAGGCCCGCAGAGGCAGCAGGCAGCCTTCGGCTCTTCCCCGCACCCTGAGATGCAGCTCCTTTCCCCGCAGCCTGTTCACATGCCCACACCAACACCTCCTCCTTGGCAGCCCCCAGCAGCATCACTTTCTCCCCCCCCCCTGCACCCCCGGGTTCCCTGCAGAGCTGCTGCCCGCACCTCCTCAGCGCCGTCCCCCTCAGTGCTGCACCCTCAGCCCGTATCACATGCACAGGACTGGCTAGGAAAGCCATTTTAAGCTATTCAGTTGCTGGTAAAGTCACTCCCAGCTGTGCTATATTGTAAATACAGCTTCTAGGATCGTCTCCATGGAGGAGACCAACAGTGATCAAGGCACTACCCCCACCCCCCTCCTTAAAACAAAGGAAGTCAGACCAACACCTAGGGACAGAAGAGAATCCTATAATGTGATCACACGGTTACACTGAATCTTTATGGCAAAGAGAACAATTAGCAGCTTTGAACGTTCGGGCTTCTCCCTTTTACTCAACACAAGCACTCTAGACCCTATAGGGAAAACAGGGCTGAAGCCCTAAAAAAAAAATATTAAAAAATAAAATAAAATCAAAGCACGGTTAAGAAACAGGAATCCTAACAGCTGTCTAGTTCTATAAGTGACAAGCCCACGGCTCTGCGTGCTGCCCCTGCTGCCACACAGCCGCCCCGTGGCCCCCAAAGCTTCCTCAGCCAGGCAGGAGGAGAAGACAGCGGCTGCATGCGGGCTGCTGCCCTCCTGCACAGCGGCCCTGCGCGGCAGTGATGTGCTCTGTGAGTGTGGTGGGGATGCACAGCGCTCTGCTCCTGTTAACCCTTCCCAGTTCCACCCCCCTGCAGGGCTCCGGCTCCATGCCCCAAGGCAGCACAGCCTTCCCTTCCTCACGGAGCTGGAAGGGTTAACGGAAGGCCGCTCGTGTCGCCATGCGTGCACTGGTCTGATCTAGAAAGGGATGGTGGCTAATCTGGAATTAAGTCGGGGTTGAATCACACACACTGATGTCAAAACTGGTTCAGGAAAAAAAAAAAAAAAAAAGAAAAAAAATTAAAAGAAAAACGAAAAAAAAAAAAACAAAACAACTACCTGAAATCACAGAACTTTGGAAGTTCAGAAAAACGTCTCTCCTATCGCTTGGTTTTTAAGTTCATTTGCTTAAATCTCTTTTCTTATTTAAAGCCAGTTCCTAACAGTAGTTTTTCCGCCTCCGCCCATCTCCCCACCAGTGATGCCAGCTGATTTCCTGCGCTCAAAGGATTCCAGGCTGTGGAAGGTGCTGGGCTCGCCAGTGCACTGTCCGCTCCTCCCCGTCCCTCCCCACAGGGAGCGCTCGGCCGCAGTCCCTCCTGCACAACTGACCGGCAGCAGTCACGATTCAGAAGATATATTGGATAAGAAGGCATGAAAGTTCCTCTAAGCACTTCCAGGCTCAGCCCTTCTCCAGTTCTACCTTGAGCGATTCTCCCACTCCTCCCGCGTGCCTCCCTCACTTCCTGCGGTCCTTCTGTTTCCTCTCCTGCCTCCTGGCCTGCTGGTCAGCCAAGGTGCGAGGTATCAAGATGACGCTGCCGTCGCTGGCGTACTGCAGGGCGTACTGACTGGGGGAGTAGGGCTGGCCGTTCTCATCGCGCAGCCGGCCGAACACCTCCTGGTAGAGGTTCTGCACCTTCTGCTTCATTTGGCGGATGGACTTGAGGAACTCCACCTTCTCCCTGAGCAGTTTGGACTTGTCCCTCTGCAAGTCCTCCACGTCGCGTTCCAGGTTCAGGATGGTGTCCAGCTTCCTCTTGCGGCAGTTCTGGGCAGCCATCTTGTTCTTGCCTCGCCTCCTGATGTCTCGGATGAGGCTCAGCTGCGCCTCGCTCAGCTGGTACTTGGAGAGCAGTTCGTTGAACTCCTCCACGGGCAGGTTGATGATCTTGTCGTTGGTGAAAGGGATCTTCATGGCTCTGGCTCGATGCTCGTCCCTGCTCATCTGCTTATCCAGGAACTCGGACGGTTTCTCCTTGCTGCTCTTCTTCCCCACGCTGGGCAGCTTGGGCTCCTCGGGATCCAGGCTCCCCGGTGCCATGTTGTAGGTGTGGTTGTGGCCCACGTGCTCCAGGTAAGGCAAGTAGTGGAGCTGCGCCGGGTCCTGGTAGCTCATGCGGCAGAACTTGCTGTACTCAGGCTGGTACCCAACCGCCCCTTCCGCTTCCTCAAAGTCCACGTTTTCAGAGTCTGAGCTGTAGCCGACAGCTCCTTCCTCCGAAAATGAGGAGGAAGAGGAAGAGGAGGAGGAGGAGGAAGAGGAGGAAGAAGAAGAGGAAGAGGCTTCTGAGCTGCTAAGGGAAGCGGGACTGTGGCCAGAATCCAGAGAAAGACCTGAGTCAGAATCAAACTCCTCTTCCAGCTGCGAGGCCTGCACTGGGTTGAAACCTTCTTCAATGGCCAAATCCATCAAGCTGATCTCATCGAGCATGGCTTCATCCAGAAGGCCGCCCAGCGGGTCGGGCAGCTCAGGGCCCGCCGTCTCATTGACCGTACTGTTCAGCTGTGGGGGGAAGAAGATCCCACTGAAGTTGGTGGAGCTGAAGGTGGTGTTGAGGCCGGTGGAGTTGTCCGGTGCCAGCTGCAGCAGCGCTGAGCTGCCGCCCATGGAGGGGCTTTCAATTTCAGAGCTGAAGAGGGAGAAGTCCTGTGAGCAGCTGCCCAGAGAGGCCTGATGCAGGCTGACATTCTGATTGATGGGAGTGTTTGGGGCGAGGTTGTAGTTAGAAGTCAGCAGGTCTCCGCTCGTGCCGTTGTAAAGGGTTTCAGCGGTCGTGCCGTTCACTTCCATTGCCTGCAAGAGACACGAAGCAGATCAGCAAATCAACCACGTTCAGGCCCTGCCTTTTCACTGCCCTTCACCACCAAAGACAACGGCGTTTCTTGCTCCTGTGGAAGGAGCTGCATCTCCAGTCCGCCCAGCACCACCCGCCAGCTGCGGGAGATTGAAGACGCTGCCAGCAACATCCACACGGGCGCTCAATGTCACCGCACAGGCTGTGGCAAAACCAAAGCTGCTGTGCCAGACCTCCAACCGCCGTTGTCCGGGAGCCGGGTGCTTGGAGCAGCCACCGCACCTCCTCTAACCTCAGCTGAGCGACAACGTGCGCCCAGAAGGGCAAACCCCTTCCCACTGCCACCCCTCCAGCACCAGCAGCTGCCACCCCAGGGCGCTCTGACCTGCATTTCCATGATAGACATGAGGTCCTGCCACTGCTGCTCCAGATCGAAGGGCGACTCGGCCTCTGGGAGGAGAGGAGACAGCAGGCTGCTCTGGATGCCCGCAGGCCGGCTCTCGCTGGGCACAGCTTCGCTTAGGGTGGAGACATCTGCAGCTGGAAACTGAACCACGTGAGGCACAGTCAGTCCCCAGCTGATGAGCCGCGGCCAGGGAGGCAGCCAGCCCCAATGCCCTTCCACCTCCACGCCGGCAATCGCTTCTCCTTTGTTCAGAGCAAAGCGGTTGCAGTTATTCCTCCGCAGTTCGCTATGAACTAATTAGAAGCAAAGCCAGAAGTCTTTAATTAATTGTGACCACCCCACACCCTCCCCCCGCTGCTACTTTCGCAGGCACGATGCCTGGAGCCTCCTTAAACAGCCTAACCCAATTTACTGCCAGCCCTGCGCTCTCGATGAGGGGTACAAGCGCCACCACAACCCCATCCTCGCTCACCTCCGAGTTCTCCCCGAAAGGGAAGGTGGCCTCCAGCAGCCTAAGGCACTCCTCCAGGGACAGGGCCGTCTGATCCTCCACGCCAGGCACCTGATGGGAAACGCAAGCCCCGGGATTAGGAGGGAGGCGATGGAAAAACAAACTCCTACAGCACAGCTTCATTACAGCGCATCCGAAAAAGAGCCAGAGGCCCCACCCAATGCTTCCGAGGTGCTCCCAGCACCGGGTTGGGGCTGGAGGGGACCCTGAGCCGGCAGTGCAGCTCAGCAGAAGCTGTGCTGGATGCCAGCCGTTCCGTTACCTGCGCAGGGAAGCTCTCCCCGGTCTCGCCATCCACTAGCAGGTTCCTATTGGTGACCTGTCCTCCCGCGCTCCTCCAGCCGTCCCCGCGCTCCCTCCCATCGCTCAGCTCTTTGTCCACTTCGCTCTCTTTCTGCCGGTGGCTGTAGTCAAAAATCTCTCTCCCGGCACCCAGATCGATGTCCTGTCTCCACAGGATGTCAATCAAATCGATGTCCTGAAAGACACACGCACGCACACGGAATCGCTCAGCACGGGCCCCTCCGGACCCCTCGGCCCATCCCTCTCCCACCGCCCCCC